CGGTCCCGCAGCGTGCGCGGCCCCACAGCGCCCTCCGGCGGCCGCCGTGCCGCGCTGCAGCGCCGCGGAGCCGCCGTGGCCGCGGCGCTGCGGGCGAGGAGCGGCAGCTCCGCGTCTGCAGAACGGCAAAAAAACCCACCCGCGGGGCTTCTGCTCACTGCCCCGCGCCCCTCGCCATCCCTGGTCGCTCGTCCGGCTGCAGGGAGCGCCGTAGTGGCGTCAAAGCCCCTCAAAGGGAGCCCAGGCGTGCTGCTGCTTTGGTACCCTGTGGTGCCGCAGCCCCTGCCCCACTCCTGGCTCATCACCGCTGGACGAGGCTGCGCCTGTGAGCTGCTCTTTGCCATGGATGCACTGGGATTCAAGGCCAAAGACAGTTCACAGCTGCAGTTTAAGAATCTCTCTCGGTGGTGATTTGTGTCATGAGATAACCCAGCAGTGATGCCACAAGAAGGGACTTGGCCAGTGCTGTCACACCTGCAAGACACACTTCAGGCATGTAGGGGAGTTCAGCCCCCAGAACAAAGTGCCACCTTTCCCCTTGTGAGCTGGGCTCCACCAGGGCTGTTTCCATGGTCAGGCAGCCTAGGCCCACTGCAGGACTGGGACATGGCCAGCAACGAATGCACTGGCCCAGAATTGGCTGTACATCCTGTGCTCCTCCTGCCCAGGAATGGAGGTGTAGGAGAAAAGCATTGCTTATCCCACTCGAAGGTCACAGGGCTGTCCTGGACAAAGGTTTCCAGACCCCATGAGCATCCATGTCACACACAGTGCAACAAGTCTCCTGCTCCAAGCCAGAGCAGATTCCCCACCTCTGTCTCATCCTTGTCAGATGCTCCAGCACTGACTCCTTTGGTTTTCCCAAACTCCTGGCTGGAAGTAGGCAAGGCAGGTGTGGTAGACAACTCCAGGCTAGTAATTTTTCAAAAATATTCCTAAGCTTTGGGGTTCCTTCCCATGAAAGTGAGGCCCAAACCACGCACTCCCAGGTAACATCCAGCCCCAGGTCACCCAGCACACCATTTCAGAAATCTGCAATACTTTAATCAAACCCTACTTAAGGCCATGGTTACTTTCAGGATTGCACTCATTCCTGCTTCCCAAAAGCACAAATATCTTCATTAACACACAAGGACAGGGCGAAGCTCCCCCCTCCCATGGTCAGCCAGGGTGACCAGTGCCTCCCAGTGCTGATGGCCACAACCAGAAGAGCTGGTCCCAGATGGCAGAGCAGGCAGCAGGGACAACTGCCAGGAGCTGAGTGACACCTCACATGGACCACCAAGCTTTTGCCAAGGCTCATCTCACACAGCACCTACAGCCAGGAGAGATTAAGTAACAGGGCTGTGAGCTGGAATTGCTGTGCAGCACAAGGGCATGGCACAGAGCTGGGCCTTTGAAAGTCACCACTCCTCTCCAACACGAGCAAAAGCTGGAGCAGCCCCAGGCAGGCTCCAGGTACTGTGGCAAGAGATATCACTGAAGTGACAGAGCCCAGAAATGATTTGCAGTGTAGTCCAAAAGTGGCAATAAAACTGTGAGTGGCTGCAGGACAGCGTGTCCCATTTGGTGAGATGAACAGTGGCTTTTAAAAAGATCACTAAATCCCATCAGTGCTACCTATACAAACCTCATTTATTTTAAAGGCTGCCATTAGAGTGCATTTTATCCCTAGCAATAGGCAGTTTTAAATTGCAAATAACTTCTCAGATCAGTCAGCAACCATCTTCATTCCACTGGAGAGAAGAGCAGTGGCTCAGGCTGGCCCTTGGGGACAAACGGGTTCTGGAACAGTGTTGAGGCTTCTGGATGAGCAGGTATGCTGAGCAGCATCACTGTCCCATGGTTTTGCTGTGCAGGATCTTGGCCGAGCTGTCCACGACTTCATCTCCCAGAGAGCTCTGGGGACCCAAAGCAGCATCACCTGCAGCGTGGCTGTGTCCCAGTGGGGAGCTGTCCCAGCAGGAGGGTGTCCCAGGGAGGAGCTGTCCCCGTGGGAAGCGTGCTGGGGGTGGCTCAGGCCTCGGGGCTGTCACACAGCAGTGGCGTGGTCTCAGAGGAGGGGGTGGCTTTGCTCTGCGTGCTGCAGGGACCAGGGCTCTTCTCGGCGATGCTTCCCTGCAAGGGAGGGACAGAGGTCACAGCCTGCCCACAGCCAGCGTCCCCACCCAGCCCATGCACTCCCCGAGCCTCTCGCAGTGGCCAAGGACCCTGCTTTAAATGGAACATTTTTGTAATTTCTTTTTGTACCTCTCGCCTTAGCAAAATGAGGTTATTTCTGTTCCTGCCCACCAGCACCTATAACACCACCCGAGCACCCAGCCTGTGTGGAGGAGCTATGGGACAGTCACCCGAGATGGAAGGGACAGGGACAGCCTGCTGAGGGACACGAGAGCCTGGAGAGCCCCAGGCACCAGCTGCAGCTCACACAGGCAGCACTCCTTCCTGGGATAATGGCAGGGGCAGCCTTGGGAAGAGTGGACGCTGGTGCCTTCTGGCTCCTCCTCACCTAAACACACCTAAAAAACAGGGTCACCACCCTCTGAGCTGAGCAGGAGCCAGATACACCCTCCAACAGACCAATGGGCCCTGACCCTAAATCATGTGGGCCCTGACCCTGATAAATGCAAGAGCCTCAGGAGGAAGCAGCAGGTGACAGGAGTGGGTCACTTCCTGCTGCTGGGGACAGGGACACCAACCTGTCCCTGTCCCAGAGCATTTTTCTTGCTGGGGATGTGGGTTGGGGTGTTGTGGAGGGATGTGAGGCTCTTCTAACCCTTTGACTATTGCTCTTTGCTGCTCCAGTGACACCACCAGGAACACCTGGAGACTCTTTGGGCACAGTGGTATTTGGCTGAAATTTGGACTTGAGGATCTTGGAGGAATTTTCAACCTTGATGAGTCTAAAAAGGTCTCCAGACCTCTGGTGAGGGGATGCTGTCAGGGCAAAAAGGATGGCTAATACTCAAGGTTTGCCTCCTCCAAGTTCAAGAACAGTCCACCCTAACAAGCATCCCGAGCCAGGGAAAAATGCCAGCAGGGCAACAGGGATGAAGCAGGAGCTCCAAACACAAATGCAGAAAGGAGACCCATAGAAGGTGGGAGCAGGGACAGGGAACCTGGCAGGAACACAGGGAAACTCTCCCAGCATGCAGGGATGAAGTCTGGAAAGCCAAAACCCAACTGGAACTGGATCCAGCCAAGGATGTCAGAGACAAGGAGGGCTTCTCCAAGTACCCAGGTGATGAAGGAAAGAGGAGGGAACCATGAGGGCCTGGGGCTGAATGAGGCAGGGGACCCCAGAAACCAGGAGAAAGTCCAGAGCAAGGCAGATGCACCCTTGGTGGAAGAGGATGAGGTCAGAGAATGCTTAAGGAACCCAGACATGCAGAAATCCATGGACCAAGATGGGATCAGCGGGCTCATGTCACAGCAAGGCCATTCCCTGTTGTCTTTGAGCAGTCCTGGCTCAGAGACTGAAGGAAAGCAAATGTCACTTCTGTCTTGAAAAGGATCAAGAAGACCTCAGGAGCTACAGACCAGTCAGTCTCCCTTCATTCTCGAGCAGCTAATTCTAAGAACCACTTCCAGGCTCATGAAGGACAATTTAATCATGAAGTGTAATGAAATCATGGGCTTCAGCAAGGGGCAACTGTGCTTGAGCACCTGTGCTGAAAGGACTGGAGTGGTAGAGCAGGGGAGAACAGTGGATATTGTCCACCTGGACTCCAGGCTTTTGACACCATCTCCCATAAAAACCTTACAGGGAAGCTGGGGAAGTTGGGATTGGATGAGCAGGCAGTGAGGTGGACTGAAAACTGGCTGAACAGCCAGACCCAGAGAGTTGAGCTGGGGACCAGCAACCATCAGTGTACACCAGGGGTCAATTCTGCATCCAGGCCTGTTTAATATCTTTATTAATCATCTGCAAAACCTGGGGGTGTGGCTGGTACACCAGAGGGACCTCAGCAGGCTGAGGAAGGCACTGGAAGGGCCCTCATGAGGTTCAACAAGAGGATGTACAAGGTGTCTTTCATTTGGGATCAACAACCAGCACGCCCTAAAGGTCACCCAGCTCTGCAGCAGCTTGGCAGACAAGGACCTGAGGGGTCTTGGGCACAGCAAAGGCAGCCAGCTGCTTCCTGGGCTGCACTGGGAGTGTTCCAGCAGGTCTTGAGTGATCCTTGCCCTTTGCTCATCACTGGTGAGGCCACACACGGAGTACTGTGTTCAGTTCTGGGCTTCCCAGAACAACAGAGAGATGGAGCTACTGGGAAGAGTCCAGCAAAGGACCACGGAAGTGATTTTGGGATTTGGGGACTGGAGACTCTCATGTGAGCAGAGGCTGAGAGAACTTGTTCAGCCTCGAGAAGAAAAAGCTCAGGGGGATCTCAGCACTGAAAAGAAGTTTCTGAAGGGAGGGTGTAACTACAGAGCCAGGCTCTTCTTGGTGGTGTCCAGGGACAGGATAAGAGCAAAGGGACAGTTAAATACTTAAAGGGGATTCCATCTAAACATTAAGAAATATTTTTTTTTTCTTTTTTTTTTTTCCCTGTGAAAACTGTAAAAATGGCAACAGATTGCCCTGGGGAATCTCCATTCCTGAAGACATTAAGAGACATCTGGACATGGTGCTGAGCTAGGTGACTCTGCCTGAGCAGAGGGATTGGGGATGACCTCCAGAGGTCCCTTCAACCTCAACGACTCAGTGATTTTGTGTTCCTGTAATAAAAACCCAGATATTTTATACATCAGCAATCCTGAAAGCCTCTCTGTTGAGGGGAGGGGTGACACCTACCAGTGGACTGACCTCTGTTACCCCACAAGTTTCTACCCATTCAAAAAACTTACCTCTGGAACTCAAAACACTCAGAGATGGGGGGAAAACAGGCAAGCAAAGTATTTCCTCACACCAATCCTACTTTTCCCCTGATCCCTGCTGACATTATTAGTGCTGCAGATCAGCTACACCGGGAGAAACAATAAGAACACATGCTTGCAACCTGCTTTAGAGCCAGCATTAAGACATCTGGATTGCCCCAGATAAAACCATGAGACAACACTGCTCCATCAAGCTCGCCAGGAGCTGGGAGATGTGGACAGCAAACGTTTCATTTGATTGGTTTCCAGTGAAGCTGAATCAAGTGAGGAGGAGAGAAAAGCATGTTACCTTGTGTGGGTACCCACCTACAGTCGGGCTTCCCGCAACACCGTCCCCTTAACCGGAGGCAGCTTTTTGGCAGAGGTGGCCTGGTTTGTCTTATTACTGTCTGAGCTCTTTTTATTGCTACTCCAAAATAAAGAGCACTTTTCCTAGAAGACAATCAGTCTGGTTTATGGTGCACCCAGATGTGAATTTCATGAGGGTTCCAATTTTCGGAGGAGATTTGAGAAATCACTGTTTAACTAGAATCGAGTTATTAACGAAGATTTCAAAATTTAGATTAAACTAAGTCCTAGTTAAGATTTTTTTCAGTGTCAAGCCAGTTTTAAAATGGTCTGTTTGCCTTTTGAAAGTGTCACCACACAGGCGTTTTGCCACAAAGGTACAAAATCTGGGGGTATTTTACACCTGTACAGATTATGCTTTTTTTTTTTTTTAGAGCTGCAAGTCCAACAGATGCATTTCAAACTGGCTCCACTATGAACTAGACTAAGATTAAAGTATTTCACAGTACCTCATCTGCACTGGCCTCGGAGCACACTGCTCCCTCCAGAAGCCACAGGCACACAAGCCAGAGGGTTCAGGGAGCCCTTCACGCTGGCAGACACGTGAAGGTGTGGCCAATGTCCCCGCTCAGTGTCCCCTCTGACATGGCCTGGGACTTGGGGAGGCAGAACTGTGCATGATTAAGCAATCAGAGCTAGATCAGCAACGCTTCAATCAAACGAGGAACACACAGAGGAACACACCTTGGCTGCAAATCGCTGTCTTCCAGTTTACAACCTCTTATCTACTCATTAGGTGGAGACCTTCATGTGTTCTGCTGCCTTCTTAGAGATTGTAAAGTCATTGAGGCTTTTTAGTCACTTTCCAGGTAGTCAGGCACTTCCTGCCGTGGATTTTTAGTTCTAACACTTCATGACTCTTTTGCCTGAGCACAGAAATACAGCTGGCTTATGCCTGAGTTTGGGATATTTCACAAGCAGATATTCAGTTGGGTTCAATGAGTAAAAATCCAGCTTTTCTCCCTGCCCCTTCCTAGTATGGTTAAATCTCTTTGAAACCAGGAATTAAGACTTACACAAAGCAGGGTGAGGACATGCCAGCTGCTCAGGGTTGTATAAGGTGTCAGAAACAGTTGCTCAGCTCTTTCTCCAAGCCCCTGGGTCATGCAGCAGGGTGCAGCCTGTCTGTCAGCAACCACTCACTCACATGTGCTGAAGGGGAGCAGTTCAGCCCAGGACATCCCTGGGAGCACAGGAAGGTTTGGTGGCGAGCTCTGGGCTCCATGCTGGGCCCTAGCATCACTCCCACCTTGCAGGACAGTGTGTGGAAGAACAAGGGGATTTGGGATCATGTGTTTAAGTCACTTAAGTAATTGTAGACTTGATTAAAATCCAATTACGTGATACTCTGAGAATTCTGGCACTATTTAAGGTGGGTTTGCATCGGTGTTCCAGGAAGGGCAGGAACCAGCTGAGCAAAGGCAGCCCCTCACACAGGCTCCTCCTCAGTCTGCTCTCATCCCCAGAACTGCCTTTTATCCCCACGAGCAGCCTCTTCACCTCGGCAGCTTTAGAGCCAGCCTAAGCTACCTGACTGCAGTCCAAAGCTAAATCAGCTTCTTTTGATATAGGGTTAGGGTAGGAAGTCAGATCCCTGCTTCCTGAACTAAAGCTTGTAGAGAGAGCTTAGTGATACCAGATCACCGTGGGGCCAGAGCCACAGGTCTGCACTGAGTGTTTTGGCTGTTTTATGTTCAGTCCTGAGAGCTCAGCTCAGCCTCACCCCACTGCCTGCCCCACAGCCAGCTCCCAGCAGGCTTCAAAGGTCTTCACTCCTCAGGAAGCCCAGGTGCACAAAGGCTCTGAGGCTTTCACTTCCAGAGCTCTTTGGAGCAGTTTGCACAGCAAGGGCGTTTCAAGGAAATACAGGGTCTGTGCTGGGCTGAGAAGCAGCCACAGTGGCTGTGTCCCCTCTGCAAGAACACACCAACTGCATTTCACTTAACATGCTGTGCTCAGCTAGCTCCATTCCCTGGAGAAGACTCTGTTCTGACTGGAAAAACGCTGGGACCCTGCAGAGATGCAGATCTGTGCAACAGCACAGACCTGCTGCTGCCTTCTATGGAGACTGGGTTGATAAACCAGGATTATTTCTTCACTAGCTGGGTGAGCTGAGAAATACCTCCTCCTCCAGGAAACCACTTCCATCACTGCTGTGCACCAAAAACGCCAGAAATGCTTCATGCTATCTATTTTTTAGATGGCTAAGGAAGTCCTGCTGCTATCTGCTGGCACCTGGCACCATCAGGAGATTGCTGGTGGCGTCAGCCAATGTTTCCTCAGACAGGTTAAGATTGTCAGCCCAAACTACAGCGTCTGATTGAGTCTGATTTGACTGGCAGCACTTCCCACCAGGCACCTGCAGATTCTTACCTTCCTCACTGCCATGAGCACAGCTGCTGAGATAATGAGAGGGACACTCAGGCCAAGGAGGGTGTACTGCAGGTACTCCAGCACCGACGGGAGCAGCACCAGGTTGGTGTAAAACTGCTTTAGGACCGAGCCCTCGATGGATCCGCTCTGCTCGAAAAAGCAGAGTTGTCAGTGGCACTTCCCTCCCGTCCAGGGCTGAGACAGACCAGCTGTGTGATTCCACTCCCACCACCTCCCAGCATAAATTAGGGAATTTATGCAAGATTCAGTCAGGTTAAGAGCTTTTACTAAATAGCAGGAGTCAGCTGGCCACGCACCCACAGCTGGAGGCCGCAATCCCTGGCCCACGGGAGGACAGGGATGCTGGCAGCTCTGTCCAGGGCCCTATTTAACCCCACAGCTAGGCCAGAGCCAGAGATTTACCATGTATAGTGCAGGGTTTGTTCAGCTCAGAGGTATTAATGGCATAGCCAAGTATTGAAAAGCCTTCTGTTGGTGCCTAATTAGTCTGGCTGGCTTAAAGCTTTATCCAAAGTGGAGTTTCCCCAGCACGGGGTGATGGGGAAGCAGGAGAGGCTCTGCAGAATCAGGCTGAGGAAGGCAGCTCACCTCTGCAAACCACAGCAGCGGCAGGACCACTGGCTTAATCTTCCCTGTTTGACTGGGGGGAAGAAGATTAAAAAAGCAGCTTAGGTTTATGGCTGATCAGGTCACAATGAGCACCACAGTTCTTCCTAAGGGGACACGACTGACAGACTAACAGTGGCCAGGAAACCAGCATGAGGAGATGGCAATCCCTGCTGCTCCAGTGAGCTGCTCCCACAGCACAGGCAGAGCTTGTGCTTCCACAGGGATTTAGCGGCCCAAGGGCAGCAGTGAGAGCCATCCCAGACCTGGCTCCAGGGAGGTGAAACTGAGTGAGCCAGAATGCCAAAGTTCATGTCTCAGTCACCTGGGGGCTGCCTGCAGGTGCTTGCCCCTCAGCCCAAGCAGCAAGAGCACACTCCCACCCTTGCTGGCATTTAACATCTGGCACCACACAGTTTGGTTACAGAGACCTCCCGTTTGCTTTCATAGAGCTGGAAGTGTCTTCTGGACACAGGCAGAGTAGGTTTTGCCTCTCCGTGTTGCAGGTGACTCCTGAGAGGCAGCACAGTGTAGGTGAGCAGCTCCTGCCCCACCAGGAGGAACATTCCATGCCTCAGCTGCCTGGGGAGGGACAGGGACACTGCCCGAGCTGAGCAAACAGGCAGCCACTCTCTGCACTGCTGAAGGATGGAACTTGTGGCCACTGGAATGGCTGATGTTTCAACAGGAGCTGTCTGGCTCCAGCAATAGCACAACTGCTCATGGTAAAGCTTTGGAGAGAGTAAAGTCTGCAGCAAGCTCAGCATCAGCAGAGCTCCCTGCTCAGGGAAGGCAGGGGGACATTTCTAGGAGCTGAGCACTTACGTGATACCAGACACATGCTTTATGTACAGGTTCAGCTGGAGCTTGATGGAGCAGTTCATGGGGATGCCTGTCATCTGCAGAGGAAGAGAACAACCAGTTCATCAGTAACTTCCTAGTGACTTCTTGGGACCAACAGACCCTATCCAACATTCCAAGACCAGGAAAAACATCACACTTCAAAGCTGGTCTTGTTGACACCCATTAAGACATTGATTTCTCATGACTCTGCAGTTTTGCAACACATTTTTACAAGCAGAGAATTTTTGTTGTGCTGTCCCTGTTTGCAGTCAGCAGCCTGCAACTAGATAAAAATGTAGTTAACTGTACTGTTATCAGTATATGTTTGATACTGTAATAAACTTAATTAGATTTTCATAACTGTGATAAGAAAAGCAGTCAGAACCCAATTGCTAGGTAAGACACAGAGTAAACTCTGTGTCTGAGAGGGCAATAGGTTTTTTTTTTTGCTTGAGCAAATATCACGGAACATTTAGAAAAACTGACCTCACACAGCACAAGCTGTGGGTGGAAAATCCCAAAGTCCCTTTGCCATCAGCAGCTGGGACAGTGATACCTCAGGACACCCCAAATCACCCCTCTGGAGTGGTGACTTCACCCTCACTCTGTGAGTACATGAGGGCTGTAACACAGCACCCAGGCCAAAAGCAGTCAGTTCCAGATGGGCAGGCTGAGAAAGTGGAAGAAGCCAGCCCAAAAAACGGAGGTGCCAGCTTGAGCCACAGCGTGGTCCTCAGGCTTTGCCAGCCAGCTCTCATGGCAATGTGCATTTGCAGATCTGGGGCACAGCTGGGCTGCTGCCAGATACACCTCCTGGTCTATAGGCCTGAGTCAGTGGAAAGAGTTTCGCCGTGCTTATCAAAACAATTATGTTTATAATTAGTTCTGCAATTTTCTAGAAGCCAGGCTAATTATTCAATTAGTTTATGGCTTTGACATTTTTTATCTGCAGACGTCCTCGCACTATGGAACCTGCTCGGATCAGTGCCATGAGAGCAGAGTGCTGCCACCACTCAGCAGCTGGCAGGGTCCTCCCCGTGCTGGGCTGGTCCCTGGGCTGAGGGGAGGACCCTGCTGGGCTCACTCACAGGGTGCAGATCGAGGAAAAGCCCGTGCTGGTCCTTGTTGGGGTGCAGGCCTTCCACTGCATTCACCAGGGATGGGTCGGCGTTGTAGAAGTGAGGGTGGGAAATGAACATCGGCGCATCTGGATGAGATTAAGGCATCTTTAAGCTGCTCCACATCCACTTAAGAGCTTTTTTTTTTGATGTTTTTAAGGTCCTGCAGTACTTGTTCTGAAGAAGCTTTTATATTTTCTCCTCCCAGCCAGCAATCTCCTTCCCCTCTCTCCCTGCAGGTTGTTCCACTGATCTGGGAGGATGCAGGACCACCCGCAGCACATGCTGCGGTGTCCAGAGCCAACATTTAACCTGGGAGCTGTGTGGGCTGCCTCCTCCCTGCTCCCCCCAGCAGCCCAGGGGATGTAATGCTCCCACTGCATCCCTGGGCAATCCCACAAATGCCAGGCTCTCCTAGGGCTGGGCACTGAAGGTTAGGCACAAGGGTTTTCCTTGTGGGAGTGCAAGCAGCACTTTTCACCCTCCCAGCAGGCACTAGAGCTGTTTTTCCACACAGCCAAGCTTCTGTAGCATCTCAAATTGAACACTGGCCCACTAAGGAGAGCCAGGGAGGAAAGGACTTACTGAGCCTACAGGTGCTGACGTTCAGGATGCCAGACTGCATGCAGGGGCAGAAGCCCTCGTTGGGTGGGTAGTCTGTGCCGTTGGCAAAGAGGGTTTTGGGTGCCACGAAGCGATAGGTGGGCACACCCTTGAAGTCCCCCGACTGCTCGTACACCAGCCTCATGGATCTAGAAGGGTTTCAGTGGAGAAGGATCAGGGTTAGCCAACAGGCTCCCAGCACAGAAGTGGGTCCTTATCTTGGCTGGATAAGATGCAATTGCAATGTAACTTAGACTTTGAGATCAAGATAAACCCTCAGCAGTGCTTCAGGGAATGGGGAATGAGTATTTAAGCCTTTTGTTTCCCATGTTTTAAGCACATCTAAAGGGTTGGTCAGGAGTAGTTACTGAGAGAAACCACAAGCTTGTAAGTCCTCTTGCTATATCCAGGTGAGATTTGTTTAAAGGCATCCAGTAATCCCCAGGGCTGCTCTCCAAGAGATAATACCCACTTTATAGAAGCCTTGTCTACAAGGTGTTCCATTACAGCACTGGATAAATCTCTTTTGAAGGCCAGCTCCAGCAATACACTGCCAGGGGAGTGGAAAATTTCCCTACCTGATGACAGCAAGATTTTTTTCTTGCTACTAGACGCTGTTGATATTGTGCTGCCATATTGCTGACCAGGTTTGATGCAAGTCTCTAGGACAAAAATTTGCTCCCTTCACACTTGAGTGAGGCTTGCAGAGAATCACAGAATGGGTGAGTGGGTCACAGTGGGCTGCCAGGACAGCCCGGGCAGGCCAAGGGGATGCTCATTCCTACAGAGGAATGGTCCTTTCTGATGCTGGGAGCAAGGATGGGGGATTCAGGGCATGTCCAGCAGATACACGTGGGCCTCCTGGCTCTGCTCACCTCCCAGCCAGGAGGCAGAGCTTGCTGTAGCCCATCAACAGGATAAAACCTTGAGAGCTGCCTGTCAGCACCAGCTGCACTTCACGTGCACCGAGCAGAGAATGGGCCCTGCCTGCCCTGCAGAGGCACGGATGCTCTTAGCCCACCAAGTGATGTTTGTGACAGAGGCTGAGGCAGAGGTCTGGGGAGCAGGCAGCACTGTCTGAGAAGCTGAGCCACTTCCCCACAGCTCTGTGTGGCAGGAACCTCCTGTGCCAACAACAAACCAACCTGGGTTTCCTCCACTTCACTGGGAGCCTTGCCTGGAAGCATGCTCTGCTCCAGAGGTTCCTGTAGTTTGACAGGGACAGGTATGTGTTTAAACTTCAGTTACAAACAAACTTTCTTGTACATTCCTGGCTCCGGGTCATTCTGGTGTTTGCTGATGACCCCAGTGCAAAGGAATCCCTGTGCTATTGCTCAGCTCAGCTGCTTGCTCACCGGTCATTGTTCTCTACTCAACAGGAGCACTTGCCTGCTTTGCAGCACTATCTACAAAGCTGGAGTTATCATTATCTTCCCCAGGCTAGGACAGGGGTTCTGTGCCTGCTTCCCCCTCCTTCCAGCCTCAGGCACAGTGGGGTACTTTAACCCCTGGGTGATGATCAGCTAAGGTCAGGGTGTTTTACACAGGCAGAACAAAAAAGAAAAGAAAAAAAAAAAGGGAAAAAAAAAGAAGAAAGAGCCTGGAAAATGGTGGCACGAATTTCCTCCCAGACATAATTTCTCCAAGAGTTTAGTCAGCTGAAAGAGTTCTGCAGTTACAGTTGCATTTCCCTCTGACAACCCTTACTTCTCCTTCCAACTGCCCACATCTTATCTACATTCAACAACCACATCTGGTTATTTTGTACTGATTAAACGTGGGCAAGCTGGACATCTCCAGTGACCTGCAAGGTATTTATGGACACCACAAGATGCTGATAATGAGACAACTACGCTGTTGTAAAGCTCAGAGGTAATGCAAACCCAAACTGCAGCTGAACTTTACCTACAGGAACAATTCCTGAGCCCTCTGCGTGTGCAGGATGGGTGCAGTGTGTCCTGCCACCTGCGTGGGGACAGGCTGGCAGCTGTGGCCTCACCTGCAGGCATCAGGGCTGTAGAAGTCCAGGAAGGTTGGGGACAGGAAGGGTGGCCACATCTCCCCCGCTGTCCCGTTGATCATGTTGCACTGGCTGCTCCGCCAGTAGTTCACCTGTGGGACAGGTGTGGAGAGAAGAACTCAGAAGGACGAGCTGGCTGGGGTCAGCTCTCACCCCTGCATGCAGTGTCCACCACCCCACACTGCTTCCATAGCAGCAGCAAAGATCTTTCCCATCCTAAGCATATTTTCCATCCTCCATGACTCTGTGAGCCAAACATCCACTTAATGGACAAGACCCACCTGCCCCCAGAATCTGAGCTCTACCTTCAGCTGATTTTAGTTTGGAGCAGAATTCTACAAGGGAAGAGTAAAGCATCCTTTAACAAGAGCATTTACACCTTCAACACAGGCCACAGGAGCCTGAAACTTCAACCATTACAGGCAACCAGCTCCAACAGCACTGCAAGGGAGTGCAAGTGAAAAACCCATGAACAGATGAATTTAATGCTTCCTGAAAAGCCCCTTGCCACATGGCTGCTACAACAGAAGTCCTGTAGAAACTTTTCTTCACACCTGAGGCATACACAACAGCACCCAGAGCTTTCAGCTTACCCTGCTTTAAATCAGGCACTCCCCATGATTCAGGGTTTGCTGCCAGACACTCACCATCTTCATCCCATTCCACGAATCCACCATGTGGACTTGACTGATGTTCTTCACGCCTGTGTTCACGGTGAACAGCCCTGAGTTGGAGTTGTTAAACTGCAGAGAGAGGGAAGGATTGTTTAATCTACTGCACGCAGCAAGGCAGCAACACATCCCCGACTCTGGGTACCCATCAGCTCTGGGGGTGCCTCACACACCATCAGCTGCTCAGCTGAGTGTCTGAGCCTTCCCCAGGATCAATATTGCTGTGATTTCAGCACTCCCAACCAACACTTACATCCATGAATAATCCAAACTTCCCCTTGAAAGGGAGCAGGCCAGGAACAATCAAGTTGATGGCGTCTATGAGGGGGTCATCGTAGCCCCACATGATCTCCCCCACCGTCCGGTTCATGAACGCCTCCTGCTTCAGGCTGGCCAGGGCTCCACTCAGTAAAAACTTCACAAAAGCTGGCAGTTTTTCCATCATCACAGCTGCTCCCTGAGAAAGGAAACAAACCTCTGGGATGAGAGGCCCACCTTTAGCAAAGAGGAAGCATTTTTGGTGCTAACCAAAATCATTCTGCTGCTCCCATCTATGGTCCCAGAGGAATTCTCTGGGCAGACTGAGGTTCCTCATTGATTCCCAGTTGGGGAAGGAGGCAGTTGAGGGCTCACAGGCTTGGTTTCCCCACAGGATGCTCAGATGAGCTTGTGGACTTCAAGACCAGCTGCCCTGCACACTCTGGTTGTGGAACTGTAGCAGCCTACCAGAACAACTCAACACCCACAAAGCAGAAAATTGCATTATACAAGCTTAACCACCTCAATGCTTGATCAGCCTTAAGCCCTACAAGAAAGCCATTGAGTAATTCAGTGGTTCAGTGCTGGATATCACCACGCTCCCTGCAAGCCCAGAAGGTGGAACCTTTGCAGGCAACAAGCACTTACCATCATCATGATGTTTGGCACAACAATGTACTCGTCCTCCGTGCCGTTGGACAGGTCTGGCTGGAAGAAAAGGTGCCGGTACTCCAGGTAGGAAACGGTATCGTTGTCATAGAAGGTGATGTTAGTTTTAAACCTGTACTCCCTGCCAAGAGATGGGAGAGCATGGGAACCAGCCCTAGGCAGAGCCCCTTGAGCCAGAATGAGCTGCACAGGCCTGGGCTTGCTGCTGAGGGAGACCAAAGCCTAGCAAGGAGCCTCGGGGCAGATGGGGAGGCAGTGTGGGAACAGACAGAAACCTCCCACCCCAGCCAGGGTTAGGGCTTGGCAGGAGGAGAGGGCAGCCCAGGAGCCAGGCATTCCTGACACGTTGGATTCTTGCAGGAACTAAGTGTTTCTTCCCAACCCATTACCCAAAAAAATTAAGACAGTAAATCTCCTCTGTTGCTTCACCCACAGGCACTGTTAAGCCCAAGCACACCAGAGAGGTGCCCAGACATGCAGAGCCCACGCACCAAAATCACCTGCACACACGAGAGGACCAGCCAAGATGCTCCATGCTCCACCAGGGATTTGTTCCCAACCTCCCTGGTGGCTCCTGGGTTCAGGGCAGCCTGACACTCCACACAGCACGTGGCCCTTCTGCTCCTCAGGGCTTCAGGCACACTGCCTGATACTTTAGCTTTCATCTTTTCCAGATTCTGCATTGCTTTGGTGTGTAGCTCTGAACTCCATATAAAGTGTCAGCAGCTCTGCTCACAGCTCAGATACACAGAACAATCCTTTTCCAGCCCAGAACCAGCTCAGGCACACAGAACAATCCTTCTCCAGCCCAGAACCAGCTCAGCACACAGAACAATCCTTTTCCAGCCCAGAACCAGCTCAGCACACAGAACAATCCTTTTCCAGCTCAGCACACAGAATCCTTTTCCAGCCCAGAACCAAGAACACCACTGCAGCTTCAGCCCAAAAAGTGTAAAACAACAGAGAACTGAGGAGAGCAAACTGGGAGGGTGGGACTGCACAACCTGGAGCTGGAATTGGGCAATCTACCCCAATATGGAAATGGACCAAAACTTCTAAAAGTGTGAAAACTCGTGACATGCCATCCATCCTGGGTGAAGCCACAGCTGGGCTCCTGTGCTGCCCAAGGTGCATCCTTTGAAGGCCTTTCAATAAATCCCTATTTATTAATTTAACTCTGTCCAGCCTCTGTTCTAGAGAGCCTCTCCAGGCATCAGCCCAGTGCTGCTGGACTTCAGCCCATGCCACAGGGGCAGCCCCAGGCCCATGGAGGCTGCAGTGCTCTGCAGCACTGCCAGGTTGTCCCCAACATCACAAGCCTGTTACTGCTCCTGGAGGAACTGAAGCTCAGCTCACCAGCAAAAACAAAGTCCTTCACTGTGGAGCCTCTGTTTTACAGCCCACATTAGGGAAGGGCACTAATCTTGCTCAGCAGAAACACAAGGACACTAATAAGCTTTGCCCCTTTGTTTAGTCTTACTTACAGCAAGTGAAGCTTTTCCCCGGGCCAGGAGAGCGATGCTATGGCAACATACAGAACCCACCCTGGCAAGGCCAGGGCACACAAGGGCACCTACATACTGCAGGTGTCCACTCACACTGCTCCAACAGCTTTGGATTAACCAGTAATCTTCCCACAAGAGCTTGCTCAGGCTGCTGCTCAGCCTCACCCCACTCCTGTAGGTACTAACATATTGAAGATCACTGCTCACGGGGAGGTTCACATGCTCAACATCAAGCATGGTGTCCTCCTTCAGGAGCTGGGAAAGCCCCTGGGGCTTCAGCCACCATCCTCAGCCATGGCAAACAGACCCAGCCCTGCTGGGTGTGGGTCTGACCCAGTACTGGTGCTCCATACTTGCTCTCCATATGGCTCCCATGACCAGAACACTCACGTTGGGCACGTTCTGGGTCTCACGTCAGGTAAGGAGCCACGAAATTCGATATTGAGGTGACTCCAGCTCAAGAGCTGGGCTCTTAAATGCACAGAAAAGATAAAAGAGCACTCTGAGGACAGGGTCAGCCACCACCACACCAACACCCCTCATGTTGGGACTGTATCAGCCCAGGTCTGCCTGCCCAACAGGCCCCAGAAAAAGACTGAGCACAACTCAGTGGAGCACCCACCGATCTCCCCATCTCAGCTCCTACACGTGTCTTGAGCAAGATCAGAGCAACTGGAGCACATCTGGGTCACTTTAAAATGCAGTGCCCCGGGCTCTCACCCAGCCTGCTGATGCCATGTGCTCCTGCCAGAGGAGCCAGGGGCAGCCTGGCAGGCAGCACAGCGGGCAGGGTCACGCCAGGCTGGCACCAGTGGCTCCTGACCTGTACACGTAGGGCCCACGCTGGCTCAGCACCGGCTTCTCGCCCCGCAGGACCTGCTTGGGGTTCAGCACTTCAAAGAAATACACCGTCAAGTAGAAAGGAACAGGGATGTCTTTCCACATTTGGAAGGAGATGCTGTTGGGGTCGATCCTGACGTTCTGGAAGGCAAAAAAAATACAGGGTCACAACATTTGGGTTCTGTGGCTGCAGGTGAACACGTCCACCCTCAGCTCACTGTAGGGCACAGATGAAGGTGGCATTTATAAGAGCTCTCCAGAGGATCCAGGTGTGCTTGGCAGACTGAAACCCAGCTGGATATACAGTGAGAAATCCTGTGTGTGCAGAAGCATCAGGTTTTATGGCACAAGATGTTTGCTGGCTTATTTATTCACACTTAACTTTTCTAATCCTACCCACAAAGTTTCTGAGTGTTTTGATATGCTGCATTCACTCTGCACTCTGCATTCATTCAGCTCTGAATTCACTACTCTGCACGTTTCACTTGTCTGTTCCAGAGGCCTTTGCTCATGGGTTTGGCAGCTCCACAGAGCTAAAAGCAAGCAAGAAGTGGCACAGCTATCCTCACAAAAGTTTGGGTACCAGCAGGGAGAGCACACTAGAATCCCAAAAAGAACTTTGAGAACTGGGATGGCAAGGCAGCTGTGTCCCACCAGCACAGCACAGGACACCTCTGCCTCCTCTCAGCTGCCAGCCTGCACTGACTCACAGCTGATCATGAGGCAGTCAAAGGCAAGGCACCTATCACTGTCCTGAAATGCCTGCAGGAGCTCAAAGACAACTTAAGTCCTCCTCAGCTCACACCTGACACAGGGACACATCTGCCTCCATGCCCTCCCTGCCCCCAGGGTGCTGCAGAAGGGCAAGAGCTTGTTCCTTCTTGAACACTCACTCTGGATGTGTTCCACCATAATCTTTTCTTCTGAAAGCACACAGATTCCTGACCCTGCTTAGGTAACCCAGCCAGCTTATGGCAGTGGGGCTGATCCATGAACAGGAGGAGGGACGTGGGCTTTATGCTGGAGCGGCTCCATCTCACTGGGCACATATTTGCTGACACAGGAGTTGAGGTACCAGAGGCTTCCCCATAACATCTCCCCTTTCTTGGGTCATTTTGTGGCAAAGCTGAGCTACCTGTGAGTGGGAGGCCTCTGTGAGCCCCTCATCCAAGCTCCATCCCTGGGAAAGCATCTCCACAATGTTGTGCAACCCATGTAACCCTTCCCACCACCACCACCACATACTCCTCTAATTTTTCCAGCCTCAAGGATTTAATGGCAAAGAAGAAGAAATAGGAAAGATTTTTATTTAATCTGCTTTACAACCCTGATTCCCCAAGCATCGAATGGATTATGATCGAGAACATCTCCTTTCCTTTAATTGCCTGTTCTGTCTTGCACTCCCTTGACCACTTGTTGCACATGCATTTATTTTTATAATTTATTTTTATAAATAAGCATTTATTTTTATAATAAGTCAGATGGAGCTACATCCCAGCTCCCTGCTGCCCTTCCCAGCTCCCTCCCCACCTGGGCACAGCAGCTCAAGGTACTCCACAGGTGCTGCTAAGATCCCCACAACAGGGTAGCCTTAAAATTAAGCTATTTTTAGGTCAAAACAAACATGGTCATATGTCTGGAATGAAAACAGAGTATTTGTCAGCTAGATGGGTTGCAAAGGGTCACTGAGATGTTTGACCCCTCCTGACCAGGCTGATCTTTGTTCCCAAAGAACTGAAAGGAACTGGTTACTGCCCATCAGCTCCAGATGGGGCCAGAAGAGCAGCAGCTCCACCACAGCATCCAAATCCTGCCTGGCCGGGAGGGAGGGAGGCACACTGCTCAGGAAAACAGAGAGCTGAGGTTTCCCCTGCGGGCTGGGAGGAACAGTTAAGTCTGTCAGTCAGACCTCACCCTTCACATCCCCTCAGCACCCTCCTCCTCCTCACCCAGGACCCCGCTGCCCCCGGCTCCTGCCACCCAGGACACACCAGGCTCCCAAGGGGACCAGCCACGGGTGGCAGAGGGATGAGCTGACGCAGCCTCACTGCGTGCAAGCTCGTACCTTAGGCAGGTCTGTGGCATTCCAGATGCTTCCAGAAAAGCAATATTCCCCAGGTTTTGCAGGGCCAACCCCACAGGCAGCCCAGTGCAGCTGGGGCAGGCTCCAAGCTCCCTGCTTGCACACTTCACCCAAAGATATCCTTGAAACAAACATCTCTCCATAACTCCTGCTTTTCCATCAGGGTGCACCACCTGACAGAGCTCAGGAAGCCAGGATGGGCAAACCTTTACCTGCCCAAGCCCAGCCCTTCAAGCTCCTCTTATCCACACTACTCTGAAGACCAACCCAGGAGTTTCAGTAAAGGCCTGAATGTTTCTCATCACCTACCATCACTCAGTTATTAGGCTTAATCTGAAATGGGAAAAAAAATGAGCTCAGGGTAATTTTGTGTCATGTTGAAGATGGGAAGACCAAGGGCTTGAGGTGAAGGGAGGAGAAACAAGGGTTGATCTTTTCTTAATCTTCTGTTCTCATTGCAAATTACTAGGATTTAGCTAATTAGCTTGAAAAAAATTAGATTTAGCTTAAAAAGAGGACAGAAAGCTTTTTGCACAAAAAAACATCATTTCTGTTCTGCGGGGGCCATTCAGCCTTTTATTTGCAGGTTCCTGATGTCGTGAAACTGAACAAATAATTTCTACTCTTTAATCCACAGGACTGTGTGGCTCTGCCCAGCCAGTAGCACTTCCAAGGGGTACGTTTAAGTAGGTCATTTTCAGCAGAGACTTTGTGCCACACAACACCAGCCATTGGCTATGAGGTGTTTGTTCTTCTCTTTCATTAGAAGGAAATTTTCAGGGGCTGACCTGGGTAGGTGGAAGCTTGGAGAAAGGCCAAGGCAGGGAGCACATTTGCCTTGGACAGGGAGAAAAAGGTTTGGCTAAATGTGGGGATGAGCTCTACATTACAGCAGGATGATAACCGGTGTCCCAGCAGCAGGGACGGGAGTGCTGGTTCATAAGACTGCAGCAATTACTGAACAGATCATCAGCTCCATCCACAGCCCCACATTTTGGCACAAACCCTCTTCAGCCTCAGGACCTCTCCTGTGGATAAGAGGTGTTCAGAGAAGGAACTCTTCAAGCTTTCAGTCTAGGAGAGAGGACAACTTGGAGGCTGCTCCACGCACAAAGCTTCTCTGGAGCAACCTGTGCATCATCCCATTTCCAGCAGGGAAAGCAGCTCACCTGCAAGCCCGCTCATTTACTTGTGAGAGGAATAACGGGTGCCGCAGGTAGAGGCAGGAGGGAAGGGAGGAAGCGCCGGTGCTTAGGGTGATGCTCTGCCAAGCGCTTTTGCATCCCCAGCCAAATCCCCAGTGATGCCCAGAGCTCGTTAACCTGCGCGCCCAGAGGGGTGATTAACCTGCTCACTCGGGGCACGGCTGCTGTCA